ACCACGTGCTGTTTAGATAGAGTCCACCTTTGGGGAACGGATTCTTCAGCTACTGGAGTCAAGAGCGTCCAACGAAATTCGCCGGAATAATTTTTGTACATAAGCGTTGCAATAGTTAGTCGTGTAAATACTGTAGGAACAATAGGGAAGGAATTGAGCACAATCTCATAACACACGTCAGTTGAGAGTATATTTTTCATTAATTAATAATAACAACAAATGTGTCTGCAATGCCTACTATGTTGACAACCTAAACGTATGTTTGGTTAGAATGTCCGCTGTCATCTCCTCAGTAGCGACGTGCTCAATCACGATCTCCTTCTTCTTCACACAGTCTCGAATAAAATGATGTCGTATATCTATGTGCTTAGAACGAGCGTGAAAAACTGGATTTCCCGATAATTTTTCACCACCAATGTTATCATTCTTCAAAATTATAGTCTCGGTTAACACCCAGACTCTTTAGTAATTTCTACATGTAAATGGCCTCTTTTGCCGATCAGTTAGCGCCATATACTCAGCCTCTGTCGATGAAAAAGCCACAGACCGCTGTTTCCTTGATCCCCAGCTCACTGCTGTACCCCCGATTAGGAAAACATATCCCGTATAAGATTTCCTGTCAACCAGACAATATACATTACTGGAGGTTCACTTGCGCTCCCTCGTGAGTACACTAGATTCAGATATCTAGTTCCTTTAAGATAACGTAATACCCTTTTTGCTGCCTTCCAATGAGACTCTCTAAAACAACTGCTAAATTGACTGAGGTAGCTTACCGCATAAGTGTTATATCTGGTCTAGTTCCCATAGATAAATACATGAGTCCGCCGATGAGTTCTTGATAAGGGATATTCTTCTCCGTCGTTCGTCAAATTAATCCTCAACTCTAATGGTGTAGAGACCGGATTGCAATGACTCATGTCAAATTTCTCAAGTAAATCGTCTATGTATCCCCTCTGGCTAATAGCTAGATAATTGTCCTTTCTTTCAAATTCAATACCTAGGCAGTACTTAAGATTCCCCAAATCTTTGATTTCAAACTTTTGACAAAGACAACGCTTCATTCGTTCGATTTCGACTTCACTGCCCGACATAATCAATATATCGTCAACGTAATTGACTATAAAACTTGTAACGTTCGATGCCTGGACGACGTATACACAAGGATCTGCATCGGATGGAACCTCTCCAAGAATTCGGAGTTCGTCATCTAATCGATCGTTCCAAGCTCTGCCAGATTGTGGTAGACCGTAAAGACCCTTGTTCAGTAAAAAAAACCATGTCGCCTTTACGCATTCGCTCCATCATCCTTCTTGCTTCTTCTCTGATTGTCGTTTCCTTCTTTTCGGTTCTCACGATGTGATCAAGTATTTCTTCTAAATGTTTCGGAGCCTCCATAAAGATCTTCTCTTTGATAATTCCATTCAGGTAAGCTGTAGTTATATCCAGTTGCCGAATCTTCATGTCTTTAGAGAAAGATACTGCAACCGCAGCACGTATAGAAGCCAATCTTGCCACGGGAGCAAACGTTTCGTGAAAGTCTATTTCAGGTTTCATACCAAACCCTTGACCCATCACGCGAGCCTTGCGCTTGTCTTTCGTGCTGTCTGACTTATACTTGTTCCGTAGAACAAATCTACTTCCAATGATCCGCTGACCCCCTAGCCTGTCTACCAAATACCAAGTATTGTTTTTAATTAAGGATTTCTCTTCCGAGGCCATAGCTTCAATACACTCTGGATGATCGGGTCCAGACATGGCTTTTTTCGCGGAAATTTCAGCAATGTCGGCACTTACTGGTTCTAGAACTACTTGCTTAGCGAAATCTTTACGTGGTTTTCCCGGACGTCCTGTTCTGATGATTCTCGGCCGTCCCGGTCGTCGAACCGGTGCCGTTTCTTCTTTTTGAACATCATTTTCACCTAATTCTGGTGAAAAACCCCTGAATACCCCTTCAAAATTCGGTTCAGGATGCGGCTCAACTCCCTCAACGGAGTTCTTAGCAATGTCTACGTTCTTAGCAATGTCTACATCAAACCAATCGTGCTCGATATCCTTCTCGATAGAAAACTTCTGGTCGTTCTCCATGAATTTCACGTCTCTCGTTATTTCGATTTGTCTGGAATCCGGCAGCCATATTCGATACACCTTTGACAAATCGGCATACCCCACAAAAATTCCTTCTCTTGATTTGTTGTCCAGCTTCCCCTTAGTTGATGTCTTATTCAAAACAAATGCCTTACACCCAAACTCTCGGAAGTAGACCACAGTTGGTACTTTACCATTCCAAACCTGGTACGTAGTCTTTCCACCGATCTTCTTTGCTGGACATCGATTTCTGATGTGACACGCCGTCAACACAGCTTCCGCCCAGAACGACGGTGATAGACCGGATTAAATTAAGAGACAACGAGCCATTTCGATCAACGTTCTATTTATCCTTTCCGCCACCCCGTTGTGTTGCTGTGTGTAAGGAGTGTTAGTCGTGTGTACATTTATTTCATCCCTCACATACTTTTAGGTTGTCAACATGGTAGGCATTGCAAACACATTTGTTGTTATTATTAATAATGTAAAATATACTCTCGACTGACGTGTGTTATGAGATTGTGTTCAATTCCTTCCCTATTGTTCCTACAAATAGGAGTTATTAAGAAATACATTTTTGAGTTTTAATCTACGCCGATTTTATTTACCCGTCAAACGTAACAGTACCTATATATAACACTTCATCTGCGGGTACTTCTATTTCTTCTGATTATGGCAGTGCCTGCGTTCTGTGTGCATCTTTTAAACATAGACAAGTTGGACGTTGAGAAGGGTCTGTACATGCTCAAGCCGAAGTACAATTTTGGTATTGATCAGATTCCATATTACCTAGTCAAAGATTGTCGCGCTATTTTAGTCGAACCCTTAACTTACTTATTTAACCTGTCGCTGAAAACTCAAACATTTTCTAATGATTGGAAATTGGCCAAAATATCTCCGCTTTTGAAGTCTGGTGACGACAGCCGTATCGAAAATTATAGGCCTGTTGCTGTCCTTTCAGCTTTTTCTAAGGGTTTTGAAACAGTCATTTACAATAAAATATTTCCGTCAATAAAGTGAATGATTTCTCCCTGTCAACATGGTTTTTTCCCTGGGCGTTCAACTCTAACAAATCTTGTATGCTTCACACAATTCGTAGCGGAACATTTTGATAAGAAGTAGCAGGTTGATTGTATATACTGGGACGTGTCTAAGGCATTTGATACCATTAACCATTCCATTGCTCTCAGGCGGTTGAAAAGTTTTGGTTCTAGTGAAGCGCCCATCCAATTCTTTGATTCGTATCTCTCCAACCGAAAGCAAACAGTTGTTTATAATGGATTCAAATCTTCCTACTTTTCTCAAACGTCGGGCGTAACTCAAGGTTGAGCTCTAGGACCATTAATATTTCTAATATATATCAACGATTTATACTCAGTGATAAGCAACAGGGTCTTATTTTATGGAGATGATATAAAGATTATGCTATCATTGTAGGCTAATGGAGATGCTACATATGAGTGGTGCACTGAAAATGATTTTGTGGTGAACATGAGGAAGAGTGCAGTTTTAACATTTGCGCGCACCAACAAATCAGTTCATTTCGACTACTGTTTAAAAAGCGTAAACTTGCAACGTACAACTGACATCCGGGATTTAGGTGTAACATTTGAGAGTATCTTATCTTTCCACCCCCATATAAATAATCTAGTAGCGTCTTCTCTTAAAATTTTAGGTTTTATTGTTAGAACATGTAGGTGATTGAGTAATCCGGAAGCCCTAAGGACTTTATATATTGCACTTATACGTCCAAGTTAGAGTACTGTTCCCTAATATGGTCTCCCTATTATGCTTATCAAAAATTAAAACTTGAAAACGTTCAGCGAAAATTGGCAAAACATTTATTTTATCTTAGCACAGGTACCTGTCCCTTTAGAGGTTTTGATCATAAAGATGTTTTAAATTCGTGTTCACTAGATACCCTAGAATGTCGATATAAAATGTCCGCAATAAAATTTTTATATAAGGTCCTTTAGAACCATATAGATTCCATTTACAAAATTGGCTTTCTATGTATCAATGTACCCCGTTTACATAGTCTCTATCACTGCACATTTAATTGTACCAGAGCTCCTTCAAATGTTCTTTTTAATGCTCCAATATATAAATTGTCACAGATCGGTAACAGCCTTGGCGAAGAACTTGATATTTATGTGTGGCCGCTTAAGCCAATACTGCAAGATATGCTTGATATTTTCGCTTAGTTACTTTTCTAATCGTTAGACTAATTATTTAGTTTTTTTTTAGTTTAATTTAGTTCAATTTAGACCTTAGTATTAGATTTAAGTTTGCGATAATTGGATTAATTCATTTATGGTCAGCCCTGTAACTGGATGTAAATCTGTTGAGTAATAAACCATTTAAATATTATTATAATGGCAATGTTGTTGGCGAAACGCGTCAATAAATATTTTTTTGTGTTTTCAGTCTATTCTTCTATTATTATAGCACACTGAGTGATCAATAAGATTCCACAAACTTTCGAAAAATATACCATCTAAACGACTAGTTTTCTTTAGTTTTAGTCACTACAAACCACCGCCTGACAGTCCAGATTGGTGACTATGTAACTTTTTGTATGTTTGATTCCTAAAAGACAATAAATTTGAGTCAAGAAATGGGGAATCAGTAAACTAATGGAAAGACAACAAATGTGTAACAAGATATAAAGGTCATTTCCGGTTATGCGTTAAACATCTCTCGCACATCTACTAGTCTTCTAAACTTTTTTTGCAGGACAAATTTCAAAGCAGTAGGTAAAGGTGACATGATGAGACAACTCACAACACATAAATCGTGATACCATTATTATCTCCTTTATTATATAAAAAATTGACATCTTAAATACTATGTAAATACACAATTCATCCTTACGTGTTTATTTTAGTTCATTTATTTTCAAAATCTTTTGTTTTCTCAATCATAAAAAATCAGACGTTCGCTGTTATCTGTTCAAGTTCTTTACAAAAAACACGATATTTTTATTTGGACCAGTATGAGTAATGTAATCAAATATCGGACGATGAACTAAGTACGATGATAATCCATTTTACCATAATATAAATCTCGCCTACGTCCCACAAGAAATACAATTCTAAGTCCGTCGGAAGAGAGTAAGTACTAGTCACTCATTTTTAAATTTCTAACAATTTTTTTTTGTAAGAAATGATCTTTGACTCGATTCTTGGAAATCTTGTTGGCATCTGCGTGACGCTGGTGACCATAGTCATAGCTTACTATAAGTGGACGTACCAGTACTGGAAGAGAAAAAACCTACCGTATTTAGAACCAAGTATACCGTACGGTAACTTTGTTAGTCCCTTAAAACGCAAAGAAAACTTAGGCCTACGATTCCAAGACTACTACGATTGTATGAAAAGTAAAGGATGGAAACACGGTGGATTGTTTACAGGTCTAACACCTATGTACTTAGTGATAGACTTAGACTACGTGAAAAACATAATGACGAAAGATTTCCAACACTTTGTCGATCGTGGAGTCTATCACAACGAAAAAGATGATCCTCTAAGTGCACACTTATTTGCCATTGGGGGTCAAAAATCGAGAAATTTAAGAACAAAATTAACACCTACGTTTACGTCTGGGAAGATGAAGACTATGTTCCAAACGCTGGTAGACTGCATACCTAATTTCACAGAGAAAATTGAATCCGATCGTGTGACCCAAACGCCAATTGATATTAAAGAAGCCCTTGGATGTTTTACTACAGACATCATCGGTTCCTGTGCTTTTGGACTAGAATGTAATACGTTCAAAGAAGAAAACTCACCGTTTAGGGAATATGGACGCAAGGTTTTCACGTCGACTAGGTTTAGAATGGTAAAGTCACTTTTAGTGAGAAATTTTCCCAACGGAGCGAAAAAGTTAGGAGTAAAGGCAGTTCCTCCGGACGTTTCAAATTTCTTTATGAAAGTCGTGAACGACACGATCGCCTATAGAGAAAAAAACAACTTTTCCCGTAAGGACTTCATGCAGCTGTTAATCGACCTCAAGAACAACAAACTGGTGCCTGAAAATGGTTATAAATACGATGGCAATAGTTTGACGACTGAAGAAATTGCTGCACAATGCTTCGTTTTTTTCCTCGCTGGATTTGAAACGTCATCCACGACCATGACTTTTGCGCTTTACGAACTTTCCAACAATCACAAGATTCAAGATAAAGTCAGAGACGAAATTAATACGGTTTTGGGAAAGCACGATGGTAAGATCACTTACGAGGCAATACAAGAAATGAAGTACATGGATCTCGTGATCAATGAGACCTTAAGGAAGTACCCACCGCTGCCTATACTTACCAGGAAGTGTGTGAAAGATTATAAAGTTCCAGATGAAGATATTATTATAGAAAAAGGCACTGATATTGTTATACCAGTTTTGGCAATTCATAAAGATGAAGATTATTATCCGGATCCGGAAAAATTTGACCCGGAAAGGTTTACTGAAGAGAATAAAAGCAAGAGGCACAACTATGCTCATATTCCGTTTGGTGAAGGACCTAGAAATTGCATAGGTAAGAAGGGTGGAGATTTTGAAATTTGAGTAATTAAAATGGATTCTTTCAGGAGCTCGTTTTGGTCTAATGCAGTCAAAAGTAGGTTTGACCTCTTTGCTGAGAAGTTACAAATTTAACGTCAACAAGAAAACAATGGAACCCCTAAAGATGAAAGCGAACTCTTTTGTTCTAGCGACGGAAGGAGAAATATGGTTGGATGCAGAGAAAATATGATTTTGTTATATCAGTCTATGTTCAATGATAATTTTAATCTGAGATTTTTGATATTTGACTTTTATTGTTACTTTAATTTAGAATAACTATACTTGCAGTTACTCTTCTTTGTATGGAATTAAAAAAATAAACCATTAGATACAAGTTTGGAAATAGGGAATTAACATGGAGAACTGGTTTTTATTTTATAATATTTCGCCGGATCACTTCAAAGCTATTATTGAGCCATACATTTGTGGAGGTAAACGAGGGCTACCGGCCAGTATTTTTTCAAATCATTGTATCATTCATAATAAAAACCTTTGAAAATCTTATTTTGAAATCGGTGCTTGGTACGATTTGTCACGAAAGGTTCCGTCTTAGTTCGAGGTTGGGTACTTGTACTACCCATGGAATATCGAAATAATTTTTGATTAAATTAACTATTGAAGAAGTTTAAAAAACCTTGGCTACATTTTGTTCAATATGATTCTTTTAAGAGTTCATAACTATTCCACGAAGTCGGGTAGAAGTTTTGAACGAAAGATGACGTTCCAAATTACAAGCAAATAATTTACGAATAATGAGGGTGATTCTGGCCATAGGGCAGACGAGTTGTCAGACGTATACATTGTAGAAGAGATCATACGTGTTCCGAGTCCACACTCCACACAGGACCCGCGAACTCCAGAACAGGTCGATAGTAAATTTTGTATAATGTAGCAAGAATCTCAGGAGAAGCGTCTTTAAAAACTCTATATATGCGAAACAAGGTAGACTTGGCTTTACCACAAATTTTTGTACTGTGTGAAGACCAGAACAAAGTATTACTAAAGGTGACTCCTAGATCAACATGCGAATCAACTACTTTTAGTTTTAAGTTGCTGATAAAATAACTATGTAGTGTTACGTTGTACGGGTGATTGAAATCGGGCGTAGGTAAAACTCAACGATTTATTTCTTTAACTCGAATTACACTACTAACTATTGCAACGAATATGTACAGATATTATTCCGGCGAATTTCACTGGACGCTCTTGACTGTCGCCACTGGCTGAATGAATGAATCCATTCCCGACGGTCGCCTCTTGTTAAACCCATACTCTCCGAACATCCATCGGCACTCCGCTTCGAGATTTCCCTAGACGTCGCTTCGAGACTTCCGGTAACCGGTTCCAGACTTGTCTTTATGCGCTCGCCGCTCGGCCGTCGATGAGTCACCGTTCATAGACACACATACTAGGAAAACTCATAGGCGTCGCACCGGGGAGGTTATGGGTTTATTTCGTAACACTGCCCCCTCCTTAGTTCTGATCGTCCTGATCAGAAACGTCAACGGCGCTGCTGTTGTATTTCATGAGGCGGTCTAAGTGAACAGTCTTCATTTTCCTCTTCGGCCCTTGTCGGATTCTGTAGACGACATCGTTGATCCTTGTCACGACAGTATGGGGACCTTCCCAGTCTGATGACAACTTCGGACAACGACCATTCCGTCTTCGGGGGTTATAAAGCCATACCAAATCTCCCGCCTGGAACCCTACTGAGTTGTTCCGAAGGTCGTAACGTGTCTTCATTCTACCAGTCGTCACTCTATCCTGGTAGTGCAGCATTTCGTAAACGCTCGGCAGCTTCTCCTGTAGGCCATCGTCCTAACCTTTGACCTTCTTCATGCCCTTGTTCCTTTTTTTGGGCACTGGGAGGGGACCCGCTACTTCTCTCGCAGTTCTTCCAAAAGGTGAGCCGCCGTTGTGTGCTTAGATCGGTCGCATAAAAGAAATAGTAAGTCGTTTTACAATGAATATCATCGGTTCTTGTGCTTTCGGATTGGACTGTAACACTTTTATAGAAGAAAGCTCACCTTTCAGAAAATACGGCCAAAAGTTCTTTGCTTTAGATAAGTATAGAATGATGATAAGATTATTTATGTTAGTTTTTCCTAACGCGTGTAATAAAATGGGAGTTATGATCAGACCTCCTGATGTTTCAGATTTTTTCCTCAAAGTTGTTAAAGGCACAGTTGACTATAGAGAGAAGAATAACTGCAGCCGCAAAGACTTCATGCAGTTGTTAATGGACATTAAAAATGACAAGCTCAGAGACAACAGTTCTTTAACACTTGAAGAAATCGCAGCTCAATGTTTCGTGTTCTTTATTGCTGGATTTGAAACTTCCGCGTCAACTATGACTTTTGCCTTGTATGAGCTGTCGCGAAACCAGAAAATGCAAGACAAAGTTCGACGGGAGATAAATACAGTTTTGGCAAAGTACGAAGACAGAATTACTTATGAAGCCATCCAAGAGATGGTATACATGGAAATGGTGGTTAATGAAACCTTAAGAAAATATCCACCAGCGCCCCAGATCACGAGACAGTGTGTCAAAGATTATAAAATTCCTAACGAAGACGTTACTATTGAAAAGGGTACAATGGTTTTCATACCAATCTTGGCGGTTCACCACGATGAGGAATATTATCCTGAACCGGAAAAATTCGATCCGGAGAGATTTACTCAGGAAAATAAGGGCAAGAGGCATCCTTATGCCCACATTCCGTTTGGTGAAGGTCCTAGAATTTGTATAGGTGAGAAAATTTATAAAATAATAGCCTTTGAATAAAATTTACATTTTTGCAGGTGCCCGATTTGGTATTATGCAGTTCAAAGTGGGTTTGACCAGTTTACTCAAAAATTATAAGTTTACTGTTAACAAGACAACTATCGAACCTCTTAAAATAAGCGCACAGGCTTCTGTTTTGGATGCGGATGGAGAGATATGGTTAAATGTTAAGAAAATATGACTTTCTTTTGAAATATCCATATTATTATTTGCTAATATTATTTGTTTAAAAAGAGTATATGGGAATTTATTATTATACAAACCTTTTAACGATAAATAAACGTCATTTGTGTCTCAATTTTCAGGGAATTCGTTTATTCTAGACTAGCGTGTCTTGATTAATTATTTAGATCAAAGAATGATGTGCGATTTTAACGTATGTCTTCTAGATTTCGGATACTTTTCAGATTATGCAATTAAACAAACACATGTGTAACGTTGGTTGCATACTGACATAAATAATTTTAAAACGAAGATTAACTCTCGCCTGTTGAAAACTAGAAAAACTAGTGGAAGAAAATAAATTCTGGCCAGATAACTCTTGACATTGGGAAAATTTAGAAGCAACACTCTGTGAGGTTCTGAGGGTGTTACTTATAAAAAGTCTATTTAAAAGATATTAAATTTTTCCTTATCAAATACCTAAAAAGGTGCGTTATTTTTTGCGAGACTTCGTGTTTGTAATAGATTCAGAGATTTACCCCATAAATTAAATTTATTATTAATCATTTTTCTTTTATTTGTCTTTTATAAAATATAGTCCGTGCTGGGCGCCCTCTGCATCAGCCAAAACATGCATCAGCAAAATTATACCTAATTAATTACTTTTATTATCAACAATCTAAAAAGTGGTGGGTGATTAGAAACTCGTCGTTGCTTTACTGTTGTTATGCAATTAAAAGATTTTGCCACGTCACGTTTTGGCATAGTGCATGATCTGCGCAAAATAATGCATTATAATTTAATGTAGTTACATAAGAATTACATAAAGGTCAACTAATAAATTAAATGCAGCGATAAGATACTTGATAACAATATAAAAGTTTGGTGGCAGTTCTAAATTTATAATTAAACTCTCTGAATACGTACAATAAGTGTACACTTGTACCTTTATTACTGAGTGTAATTTTCTATGTCGTCACCTTAGAACTGGTTTGCCGCATATCCAGATCGGGTCCGAGGGATTTTCGCCTCTACTGTTTAGTGCAGATTTGCCGCATGTCGCACTTGGGCGAAGCGAAACATAGTTTAGATTCAGTGCTGATTTGCCGCATGTCCAAGCAGAAATCGATACAGTACCGTTATCCGTTTTTACGTACTTCCTTGCTGTTTTGCTTTTCAGCGTTAGGTTTGGGGTTGGGAAAGAAATCGTATTCAACTTCACGCGCAGAACAATAAGAATAATGTGAAATAAATAAAAAAGAGACTTAACAATTTTGATGAATCTGAAATTAAAAAAAAGCAACTGTAATTTGTGCAACTCTTTTTCTGTTGTTATAGATGTTACAAATATTTTCGATTTTTTTTTTAAGAAAGATTGAGTTTCAAATTATTAGATTCGAAATTTTACAAATTTAAATTTCAAATAGATTTGTTGCTCGTTAAACAAATAATTTAATTTTTTACTTAACAGTAACATTTTTATTTAATGATTTCTCGGAAATGATTGAACTTATTTTCTCTAAAATTTTAGTCAACAAAATTCATAGTGCTGCATACCTGTATTCGTATTTGTGGAAATGAAATTTCCACATCAATAATTACAGATAATAATAGATACATTTTTCAGAGATAATTAAGATTAAGATTTCTTAATCAACTTCACGCGCAGAACAAGTAATACGGCAAGGACTCATAATGTGAAATAAATGAAAAATTGAAACGATATTAGAAATCTCGTGGTGAAGTAGTTAACTAAGTATAACGAACAATGAATGTTAAGTTATTGATGTTTTGATTCGATTTTTTCTAAATATTTTTAAAATAAAGAGACTTATTTTTCTTTATTTTTATATAAAATCTTCATTTGATAAAACTCATTGCAGTCATTCATTTTACCTAAAAATTGTAGAATCCAAATATTGCATTGTTAATTTCCATTGTTAAATGGTGAATTGTGAACGAAATACGGAGTACCAAATTTAAATGTGTTTTACAGAAAGGAATTATTTTTACAAAGGATAATAAAATGATATTTTCTTTGCATTGGCGGAGTAATGGCGGCTCGTCGACTCGCTGCAGTCCTACTAAAATTGCAGCTTAATATGTAATTTTTTTATATAAAATATTCAAACTGATAAAGAACACTCGGGTAAAAATAGGTTGTTGTCTCAAACAATTAGATTCCAGTATTTTATTACATTACATGGATATTGACTACAAGTAGCTATTTTCGGGCAACCAGAGAAAATTAGCAGTGATATTGTTTAAAACTGTAAATGCAGTATATTTGGATTTGGAAATAAATCATTCGTTTCCATGTCTTATGTATCAGTGACAATTATGTTGACTGCAACCCAAATCTATTTGATTACCCCTAACTCCATAATATCTAGTACTTAATATAGTTATACGCTTTTCAGTTGAAAATGAAAGAATTATTTGTACTGGTAGTTGTAAACAATTGTATAAATATTTCCGTTGGATTCCTTTGCGAACTCTTTGTCAATTATTATTTATGATACTATGGTATGATCCCAAACTGTTTAGAGAAGAAAGGGAGGCTGTGGTGTGCGCACGTAAACTTGTCCTATTTCTTTCCAATACATTAGCTCTAAATATTAGTTCTCTGTCTATCATCTCCTACGTGCGCTTATCATAGACTCCTTTAATCTAAAAAGTATGCAGTATTTCCCGCGCAAACCAGCAGTCAGATCTCTAGATTGCCTGGCCTCGTGATTTGTCACGTATTTTTCAATAACATACAGTTTTCTAAATTTGCTGAAGTACTACTAAACTACAAAAATAAATAAACGGGTAAATTATATTCTCAAATTATAACTCCGAATTAAACATGCAATGTGAAAAGTTAATGCCGTGAACCCTACTAAGTATAAATTAAACGTCATTGTTTGCTAACTACATAATTGATTAAACTTATTATTTTAATAAGGTAAGGTATTAAACTAGAAAGAGACTTGAATACTTTTTTTTACTAATTTTAATAATTCTTATAAATGAGTAGATATTTAATAATAAAGCAATACATATTATTACACGCAAAAAATGTATTTGCATGTTTTTGCATAAACTTCCTGCACTTATAATTTATGAACAGTATTTTGGACGATGCCCAATTAATTGATAAGTAATAGTATGTTGATGTAAAAAGAGTATCATTATATTACTTCAAATTCTTTTAACTTTCTTTATGTATGTAGTATATCCTGTTTCCAAAATCTCAAGAAATTAGGGTTATGGTAATTCAATTCAATCTGGATGCTTAGGGTAAAATCTCAATAAACAACAAATGAAAAAGTATGTTATTTTTTAAAATTTATATAACATTTATTGCTGTAAAAGTTGGAGATGACGTTATATGATGGGGAGGATGATTACAAATGTTGGTCAGCGTTTTATCAACCGGAAACGAGAGACCTATGTTTTCGTATTATAGGAGTCATGAAACGTTGAGAAGCCATAAAAGTCGCCCGATGAACCTGATTACAATACTTCCTTAGCTTGCGCTCGAGACATAAAAAAAATAAACAATAACATTTGGATTTAATAGCTTTTGATATCTGGTATACCTAAACAGTGAGTGAATTTTATGCGGCTATTATTACCATTACATATAACCATCCATTTAAATTAATTGTTAAAAAAATTTACCCATAAATAAGTTATTGTAAATTTATTTTTATTTACACGCGTATAATTGCACAACAATAATTGTTAGACAAATAGAATGATAAAGAAAGGCAATGTCATATTAAAAAACAAATGACTCGTTTCGATGTAAGGTACCTTATATAAGTTAACAACATACATTTATTTAGTTATTATAGGTAAAATTCTAATACGGAATTTGTTCTTGAAGTAAGTCGTACATTGTAAATAGCTATAAATTCGGAAATAATTCTTTTTAAAAGATACAAGTCAAAAATGTATTAGGCTTGATTGTCAAGAAACATTCCAATTCTGTTTCAAATTTGCAAGCATTTTATGTCAAAAGCTGATTTTTGTAAACGTTCCAGTAATAAATTTCGAAGCAAAATCCACCTAAACAGATTTTGCTTCGAAATTTTAATTTTCATATTACTTTTACAACATTTTAATTTAAAAAATTAAAAATGTATCTATTATTTGTGATTATTGATGTAGAAATATCGTTTCTACAAATAAGAATACTACAAAAAATTGTGAACTCTTTTACTGGTATCCAGCGTTATAAATCTTGTTCACTAAAACTTTAGAGAAAATAAGTTCAATCATTCCCGAGAAAAAATTAAAGAAAAATGTTACTGTTTAGTAAAAAATTAAATTATTTGTTTATCGAACAACAAATTTATTTGAAATTTAAATTTGTAAAATTTCGAATCTAATAATTTGAAAATATTTGTAACATCTATAACAACAGAAAAAGAGTTGCACAAATTACAGTTGCTTTTTTTTAATTTCAGATTCATCAAAATTGTTAAGTCTCTTTTTTATTTATTTCACATTATTCTTATTGTTCTGCGCGTGAAGTTGAATACGATTTCTTTCCCAACCCCAAACCTAACGCTGAAAAGCAAAACAGCAAGGAAGTACGTAAAAACGGATAACGGTACTGTATCGATTTCTGCTTGGACATGCGGCAAATCAGCACTGAATCTAAACTATGTTTCGCTTCGCCCAAGTGCGACATGCGGCAAATCTGCACTAAACAGTAGAGGCGAAAATCCCTCGGACGCGATCTGGATATGCGGCAAACCAGTTCTAAGGTGACGATGTAATCATTAATAATGGTTTTCGGGTATATTCTTGGTAATACAATATACCTTCTTGTAACATTGCTTATCGCTATTTTCGCTTACTACAAATGGATATACCAATATTGGCAAAAAAGAAACCTACCCTTTCTGGAACCTTCTATACCATATGGAAACACTACGAATCCTCGCAATCGTAAGGAACACATTAGTCTACAACTTAAACACTTTTATGATGAAATGAAAGCTAAAGGCTGGAAACACGGTGGAATTTATATGGTTCTATCCCCAGCTTACTTAGTAGTAGATTTGGATTATCTCAAAAACGTGATGACCAAAGACTTCCAATACTTTACCGACCGTGGAAGGTACTACAACGAGAAAGATGATCCTTTAAGTGCTCACTTATTCGCCTTAGGTGGTTATAAATGGAGAAACTTGAGAACTAAACTCACTCCAACTTTCACTTCCGGGAAAATGAAAATGATGTTTCAAACACTGGTGGACTGTGCTCCCGATTTGCTGGCAAAAGTTGACTTTCATCGTGTGAATAAAACACCAATTGACATCAAGGAAACAGTAAGTTGTTTCACGTTGAATATTATCGGGTCTTGTGCCTTTGGGTTGGATTGCAACACTTTTAAAGAAGAAAACTCGCCTTTCAAAAAATACGGTCAAAAGTTTTTTGTTATGGATAAGTATAGATTGATGATGCGAATGTTTATGATAGTTTTTCCTAACGCTGCTAAGAAACTAGGAGTCAAGATCACACCTTCTGATGTTTCAGAATTTTTCCTCACTGTTGTGAAAGACACACTTGACTATAGAGCGAAGAACAACTATATTCGTAGAGACTTCCTACAGTTGTTAATCGATCTTAAAAGTGACAAACTTGGAGACAAAAACGGTTATAACGGAAACGATAACAGTTTAACATTTGAAGAAATAGCAGCTCAGTGTTTCGTTTTCTTCATTGCCGGATTTGAAACGTCAGCGTCAACTATGACTTTTGCCCTGTATGAGTTATCGCGGAACCAAAAAATGCAAGACAAAGTTCGACGAGAAGTAGATACAATTTTGGCAAAGTACGATGGTAAGATCACATACGAAGCCATCCAAGACATGAAATACATGGATATGGTGATCAACGAAACCTTAAGAAAATATCCACCAGTGTCCCATATCACAAGACGGTGCGTAAAAGATTATAAAACTCCAGATAAAGATGTTGTTATCGAAAAAGGTACAATGGTTTTCATCCCAATCCTAGCGATTCATCATGATGAGGAATATTATCCAGAACCGGAAAAATTCGAACCGGAGAGATTTACTGAAGAAAATAGGAGTAAGAGGCATCCTTATGCCCACATTCCGTTCGGCGAAGGTCCTAGAATTTGTATAGGTAAAAATGTAAAAAAGAATAGAGACGGTTCAATAAAATTTATATTTCTACAGGTGCACGTTTTGGAATGATGCAGTCGAAGGTGGGTTTGACGACTCTGCTTAAAAATTATAAGTTTACTGTTAATGGGAAAACTGTAGAACCTCTTAAAATGAACGCACAAGCATCTGTTTTGGTTGCGGATGGGGAGATATGGTTGAATGTTGACAAAATATGATTTTAGTTATTGTAAAATATCGATAACATTTAGTTTAAATTTAAATACTGGATCGATGGGAGATAATACAAAACCGACCTGGAAGAATTCTTCTCAATCTTTGATAAACGACACGAAAGTACGCTGTCTGTCAAAGATTGGCTAATGTTATTTGTGCTAAGTGTAATTATGTTCTTAAATATAAACATAAATAATAAGAAATTAATCTTCGGGTGCCCTTGTTCATAACTCTGTTAAATTGATTTTAGTGTAAGACCCTGTTCGGCGTTTGATGACTGCCCCTGCCGGGGTGTGTAATTTATGAAGTTACGGATTAGGGGTTAAAATTCTTAACTTTTAGGTTGCAACATTTTATTGTTATATCTACAAAAATGACAGTAATCTGTATAGTTGTTGATCGTGGCTATTTTAATTCCAAGTTCCATTAGCAATAATTGATAGATAAATTAAATAAAAGAACGATTTAGGTTTAGTTTAATAAGAATTTGTTTTTCCTTCTCGACGTAAAACCTTCTTCGACACACATCAGAATGTTTTCCAGACCACAAACCTTTTTTTTTACTCATTTCTGTCTTGGGCTTAATTTTGAAGCATCATTTTGCCGATAGTGTCTTATTTGTGATCGGGTGTTGTTGGTTTGTTAATATTTTTGATTTTGAAAGTTAATAGTCAAATCAATTTTCAACTCTCTTTGTCCAGCTCTTGGATCATGCTTGTGAGTTGTTCTTCTGATTTTGCAAAAACTGCCACGTCATTAGCAAATCAGACTCGTTAGAATTTCTTCATTTATTTTGATTCCACAGTTATCTTATTCGAATGTTCTAAAAAGGTGTTCTACAATTGTATGAAAGAGGTCGGGAGACATAGGTGATAATAAATTTTCGGCTTGAATATTTTTTGCAATTTAGGCATGTTGTATAGCTGTATAGCGATTATGTACACAATAATTTCGACTCGACTGGAAATACTAGAATGTATTCGACTAGAGACAAATCCTCTTAATATTGACTGGACTCGACTGGCTGCTCCTTTCGGTGGTCTCTATTTGATGAGTCACACATCATCGCCGTACATACTAGAAAGCCCTCGAGAAAACTCATAGGCGTCGTACTGGGGCGGCGTGTGGGTTTATTCCGTAACTATATCTTTATACTTTGTCAAAATATAGAACAAATAAACGTTGTTTTCCAAAAAATTGTTGTCTTTAACTTCTGGAGGAGCACGAATATTTATTTATTGAAACTGCTTTCAAGTACAGATTTTCAAATTTCTGAAACTAGCAGGTCATGATAAAAATTATCTAGTTGTTAATTGGTTAATTTAACATTACATTTCTACATACAAATATTAACAAATTCATTGCCGCCTCTTATAAAATTTCAGTTAAATGCATTTAGCTCTACGTCTATGTTTGGCGTTTGACGATGATCAAGAGCAAAGGAAAACACATGTTTTGACCTGTCGGTTTGGCGAAAAATGAGTTTCAATAAATTGAAAAATATATTTCATCTTTCTATAAGGTTTCATTTACTCAATTTTGTTTTATTTCCTTCTAAATATTTTTAGCAGTTCAAATTTTCATAACGCACAACACCTTAACCGTGACTATACTATTATCTCCTTTGTTTTTGTTATATAAAAATTAACGTTCTTAATGCTATGCAAATTCATGATTAATCCTCACATTTTTATCTTAGTTTACTTTTTTGCAAAATCTTCTGCTTTCACATCAGAAAAAACAAGACATAAGGTACATTGTTATTTGATTAACTTCTTTATGATATTGTTATATGGGCGAGTGTAAGTAGCGCAATCAGACATCGGACGATGAAATCAGTACAATGATAATGCATTTTCCCGCAATATAAATCCCTTTTGCGTTTCATAATCAAAAGGACTAGACCACTAAGTTCCGTAGGAGACAGTAAGTATTAATCACCGTTTTATATACTTCTAATACTTTTTTTTTAGAAATGGTTTTCGATTCGCTTTTTGGTAACATTATCAGCATCGCTGTTACGCTGGTAAGCATAATCATAGTTTACTACAAATGGACGTACCAATACTGGAAGAGAAGAAACCTGCCGTATTTAGAACCAAGTATACCATTCGGAAATTCTGTCAATCCCTTAAGACGCAAAGAACATAGCTCCATACGACTGAAACGCACTTACGATTACATGAAAAGCAAAGGATGGAAACATTGTGGATTGTTTACAGTTTTGACACCTACATACCTAGTAATAGATTTAGACTACTTGAAAAACATAATGACGAAAGATTTCCAATACTTTGTTGATCGTGGAATCTACCACAACGAAAAGGATGATCCTCTAAGTGCACACTTATTTGCGATTGGTGGTCAAAAATGGAGAAATTTGAGAACAAAATTAACACCCACTTTTACATCAGGAAAAATGAAAGCGATGTTCCAAACGCTGGTGGACTGTGTACCCAACTTCGTAGACAAAATTGAGTCCGATCGTGTGAATGAAAAGCCCATTGATATTAAAGAAGCCCTTGGATGTTTTACGACAGATATCATCGGTTCTTGTGCGTTTGGTCTTGATTGTAACGCGTTCGAAGAAGAAAACTCACCATTTAGAGAATATGGACGCAAGTTTTTCATTCCGACTTTTTCTGGAATGGTGAGAGGTATCTTCTTGGCGAATTTTCCAAACTTAGCTAGAACGTTAGGACTGAGTTTAACTCCCAAAGATATTTCCGATTTCTTCATCAAAGTTGTCAACGACACGGTCACTTATAGAGAAAAGAATAACTTCACTCGTAAAGACTTCATGCAGTTGTTAATCGACCTTAAGAACAACAAACTCGCCACTGAAAACGGTTATAAACATGATGGTAATACTTTAACTAACGACGAAATTGCTGCACAAAGCTTTGTGTTTTTCATTGCTGGATTTGAAACGTCATCCACGACCATGACTTTTGCGCTTTACGAACTTTCCAAAAATCAGGAGATTCAAGATAAGGTTAGAGACGAAATTAATACGGTTTTGGCAAAGCACGGTGGTAAAATCACTTACGAAGCAATACAAGAAATGAAATATATGGACCTTGTGCTCAACGAAACTTTAAGAAAGTATCCACCCCTGCCTGTACTTACCAGAAAGTGTGTGAAGGAGTATAAAATTCCAGATGAAGATATTATTATAGAGAAAGGTACTATTATTGCTATACCAGTTTTGGCGATTCACTATGACGAAGATTATTATCCGGTTCCGGAAAATTTTGATCCAGAAAGATTTACTGAAGAGAATAGAAGCAAGAGACACAATTATGCTCATATTCCGTTTGGTGAAGGACCTCGAATCTGCATAGGTAAGAGTATTTTGAAACTAGCTATATTTTCAGTTGAATTGTAATTTTTCAGGTGCTCGTTTTGGTCTAATGCAATCTAAAGTGGGTCTCACTTTTTTGCTAAAGAGTTACAAATTTAAAGTCAATCGAAGAACAGTGGAACCACTAAAGATCAAAGCGAACTCTTTTATTTTATCGGCGGAAGGAGAAGTATGGTTGGATGCAGAAAAAATATGATTTTGTTATATCACTCTATATTTATAGATAACTGTATTTTGTGTTAGTCTACTTTGTATAACGATTCTTAAATTTTCAATGACCTTCACCAAACAATATTGATTTGTATTTCAAAACAATAACCAATATTCTCAGAAGCATGTTCTAATTACGTATGTTAATAATTACCCTAAATTGGGTAGTTTACTTTAAAACTTAGAAAAATTATACATCTTTTCTGTGTTCTCCTTTAGTACTGACATTTTTGTATGTATTGTATAAAAAGTGAAGTTAACGATCATCGAACTTTGCAGTGTGGGGGTTTAAAAACAACGATTTTTTTAACTAATTGATACTCTGGTGAAAAATCGTTCATGAAGAAGTTCAAACTGGGAGGCTTGTATGTGGCTACTATAAACTCACAATTTTCTTCAAAGTTGACAAAAAAATTCCACTCAGTTAACTCCTAATATTAATCTAAATATATTAATGCAATGTGATATGATTCAAATATTGTTTTTTGTCCTTTCTAATTCTAAATTTTCATGGAGTTTGTCCATGACAATATTAGAATAAATATTGGGTATGCAACACACAATACCTACTACCATGGAAGCTCCCAATATTTTGTTAAATTAATTTGATTTAATTAATATGAATTGAATAAATTATGTTGTTTAAAATTCTTAAATACATCAGTAAACATTTTTATAATTCTAAAATATGTCGGAAACAATCATTTAGTAAATTAGTAACATGAAACATGTCTCAGGCGACTTGATTGAATTTGTATTTGAAACTTTCCACGTGAAACGTCTTAGAAACATGTTTGAAACAACTCGTTGTAGTTTCATCTGACATTACCGTACCGTAATTTTTCTTGGAATGCCTAGAACCGGAAAATCCAACTGCAATTAGAATAGCTATTTAACGACCAAGTTTGATAATAAAGGCGATCAATAATCGAGGTATTAGAGATTATGTTCGAGATTCTTAATCGCCAATTAACAGCCCAGTTCCTTACAATAGTTTTCCGGTGATAGTAATTTTATTAAATTACTGAAAATTCAAAACATTTCAAAATATGAGTTATGCAACCAAATATACAAGCAAAATTTTTGTTAATAAACGTTATTAGGTTATTTAATTTGATGATGGATGCTTAAAGTGGACCGAAGCGTAGAATACTTTGGCCACAATCTTGCCTTAAGTACCGAGTAACGTACTTTCCGCGCTCGGAAGGTAAATTGATCTCTGATAAATTAATGGGTATGTACTACCCTAAAATCGCGCGTATAGTTCGCCCCCGCGCATAGTCCGCCCTCACGTATAGCCCGCAGTTTTTAAATCTCCCTCCTAAAAATCAGATAGTCCGCAACCTCACGTATAATCCGCGGACAATGTGCGTGCCTGTAAGGTTCGATATTTGCTACCTATTTAGGTACCTAAATTTAAGTATCTAGGTACTTTTGAGAATCTTTTTATTTTTGTTATATATTTTATTTTTCATTTATATTGAGAATGCCCAATAATTTTTTTTATTTTGCGTTTAAATTTTTTGTTGGTTTTCCTACAGCGTATAGCCTGCCCTCGCCTATAGTCCGCCCTCGCATATAGTCCGCACCCGGCGTCAGGAAAAACAACGTATAGTCCGCGGAGTATACGCGCGATTTTAGGGTATTAAAACCTACTTTAACTTAATGTAGGTACCTATATAAGTATATATGTGTATATAATGCATACATAATGTTATACACAGAGATATACATTAAGTAAAAACAGATATTAATAACACTAGTTTACAAATTTAAACTTTTTTTCATATCCAAAAATAAAACAATATTTTTTACTTCTAAATGCCTTACTGATAACAAATCCAAAAACGGATAATCCTTATCACATCAGGATTTTTCATAAATCCAAAATAATTAACTTTGCTTTTACGTTCACGTTAGTGTTAAGCTGATTCATGTGAATGCACCATTGTCGCATAAAAAATGTCTTCGAGATCGTCCAAATTAAGTGCAAATCAGTTTTGTTACGTTTGTGGTAAAATTTTAGTACCTAAAGCGAGACGGACTGTTCAAATATTGTACAATCTATGTACAACAATGAGTAGACCCTTCCAGGTAGAAGGGTCGTAAGCTCCACCCCCATCATTTTGTCAGTCGGTCTAAGTACCTAAAACGACCATTACGAACCCACATTCCGACATCACAAGTTCAAGTTCGTACTGTAAGCGTAAGAGAAGTAAAGTGTTATTTGTTAACAAGGTGTTTTAATTTCAATCTATCAACATTCGACTTTAAAGAGTCAAAACATGGTCCTTCGAACCGGATTGCAGCGGTTATAACTCTTGCAAAATCGGTGCCGTAATCAGAAGCAGAATCAAGAATTGACGACGTCTTCATTATCAGGTTAGTGGCTCTCATTCTTATCCTATTCAATCCCGTTCCACTAATCTCGAATTTGGGCGTGCCTTGGTTCGCGTTGTGCGGTACCTAAGTATTTATTCTAATTCAAATTACGCGTTATATAACAATACGCGTCATTTCTCTTATATTCTAATTCTATTCATCTCCCAAAGTCGCTAGATGAATTTATAAATCGCATCACATATTCAATAAGTCATATCGTGGTTTTTGTAAAATCTCAGAAAGTCCTTAATTCATTCTATAAGCTAAATCTAAATAATTCGTATTTTTCAATTATAATTACGCTTTGGATCAGTCGTAATCTCGATCGAATTCTAATTCTTTATTCATAATTACGGTGGTAATTAGGCTCAAACTTTATCAAATCGTTAACTCGTCTGCCCACTCTCATGATTGCAATTTAATTCGTAGATAGTGAGAAATCAAATCTTGAAAACATAGCCAACCTCTATATCTCATTCAGTCATATTATTATAGTTACACAGTACGTGCGTTAAGCAATTTATTCGTTAAACTTTTTAACTTATTCTATATATTTCTTTAGTGCGTTTTTCATCGTGATTCAAATTCTAAACAGAAAGTCGGAAGTTGCATATATCAAATAAATTTTCTGTAGTTCCCTATTGTTAATATAAACATAATCACTTATTCTTAAATCCTTCTTAACGTTAATTTATCAATCTCGTAAAATGACAAAAGCCGACGAAGCTAGAAGCGTTCAAAGCACAATTCTGGAAAAGTTATCTCGTATAGAAGACTACTTACAAAAGTTTAATACGCAAAATGACAAATCAGCCGTGAACTCTCAAATATCAATGTCAATTGGCATCTAATTCCACCGAAATCTCCCCACATGGGAGGACTCTGGGAGGCGAATATAAAGAGTATGAAGAAGCACTTAAAAAAAACGGTCGGTAATTCTCATTTAACAATGAATGAGATGTACACACTACTCGTACGTATCGAGGCTTGTTTGAATTCGAGACCGCTCATACCCTTAACCAATGACCCTAACGACCTCCAAGTCCTTACTCCCGGCCATTTCCTGATTGGAGAGCCACTAACCGCGCTTCCAGAGTACGACCTCCAGGAAATCCCACTCAATCGACTGTCCAGGTGGCAGCTAGTGGAGAGGCTTCGAAACCATTATTGGACCCGGTGGACACGGGAATATTTGACGACTTTACAGAGCCGCGGCAAGTGGTTCCAGAACAATAGTAATCCGGATCTAGTAGGATCTATGGTGGTTCTTGTGGAAGACAACCTCCCGCCCCTATCCTGGAGGATGGGGCGAATATCCGACGTGCACCCAGGAGACGATGGCCAGATACGAGTCATCAGTGTAAAAACGACCAACGGGATCGTCCAACGTACTGTGAAGAAAGTGTGCTTGCTTCCGACAGAAAATATCAGTGACGCGCAGTGAAATAGTCATATGGCCTGTCATTAGTGATGTGCAGTGATGATGCGCTTAGTGCATATAAGTGAAAGTTATTGCGCTATTCCTACTGTAGTTGGTCCTTATTTACGATATATGTATTAAGTCTTTGATGCCCTTTGTATATATGTTACACATTTATTCCTACTGTATATTTTATTAAGTCTTTGATGCCTTTGTGTTTATGCATCATGTAATTCCCAAATTTTTTTTGTCATTGTTATACTAGTATTAAGGCTTATATACCTTAAGGGGGCAGTATGTACAATCTATGTACAACAATGAGTAGACCCTTCCAGGTAGAAGGGTCGTAAGCTCCACCCCCATCATTTTGTCAGTCGGTCTAAGTACCTAAAACGACCATTACGAACCCACATTCCGACATCACAAGTTCAAGTTCGTACTGTAAGCGTAAGAGAAGTAAAGTGTTATTTGTTAACAAGGTGTTTTAATTTCAATCTATCAACATTCGACTTTAACGAGTCAAAACAAATATGCTTAAAAAGAAGTATCAAGGTTTCTGGGACGAAAATATGTTACTGTTGGTCTATTATAAGGGAAAGTGACAACACTGTAAATAAAAGAAACGTTAGTGTTAATCATTTTTAATTTTCAGTCATAATGTTTACAATATATACTGAGTGTTGCTTTTATTGGATACAACTTCTTTATTCTTAAAGATAAACCTCTATTTCTTTGAGCAAATTTCTATCATTTTAAAAGATCGTGAGCCAACCTCACACTTTTATTATCACTCCCCGTAGAAAAATAAAAAGCAACCAATTATTCTAAAAATAATACTTGAAAAATTTTAAATAAAACATTGATGACAATCTAATAGCTTGAAAAATTGAAACTCATGTTATTTATTTACGTAAATGATCTTTTAAAATGATACAAATTTGCTCAAAGAACTATATGTTCATATATATTTAAAAATAAAAAAGTTACAAGAGTTGTATAAAAGAAAATAAATACGGTATATGTTTATATACTAAGTGCAAAAAAAATCCGAACACTTGGATAGAATAACAATTTTTTGAAAATCTTTTGGGTTTACAGTCTACTACTTACTACTAGTAAATGATGAAAAATTCAAATGGAAATATTAACACCTAAGCTAGTAATGGGTTGGAGCAGCCCTGTTATTGAGGCATTCGTTTACACGTCTTGGCATGGACCTAATGAGTCGATCAAGGTCATCCTGATTTAATTCATTCCGAGCAGCTTATACTTCACGCTTCAGGTCGTTTAAAGTTTGTGGTGGCCGCTGAAGATGAGTTAAACGTCGTCCTATCATATCCCATACATGTTCTATGGGTGAAAGGTTAGGAGATCTAGGAGGCCATGGCAATAACTCCACTTCATACTCTTCAAAAAAGTTAAAAGTGTTTCTAGCGATGTGTGGACGCGCATTGTCTTGTTGAAAACCAAGCCCAAGTTGCGTTCTTAAGAAGTGAAGCAGATGTGGTTCTACCACTTCTTCCACATATCGCGGAGAGATCGTACTCCCCTTAATAAACACTAACGTAGATCTACTACCGTAAGAAATGCACCCCCACACCATTAATCCTACTGTGCGGTGTACATGTCTTTCCATAGCAAATTGAGGATTTCGTCTTTCTCCACGTCTTCTTC